GGGGGGGGGGAAGGCAGAGAGGTTGGAAGCAAAACATGCCAATTTGATAATGCTTGATATTCAACTTCAGTCGAGGAATGAGAAGCAATGCTATGTTTTTCCCTCTAAAGTTTCATTTGGGGAGCGCTATGGCATTAGGCGGTGCCGCCGTTACGACAGACTCTCGGGTTAGAGGACTATTGGGGCTAATGAAATATTCACTGGAGTACCCTACTGACAAATTCATGTAAACTACTTCAAACAAATCTTAACAAGTAAAACACTATAAATGTCTAGTTGTGCTGACAATCAATTTTGACTTGCGCTAAGAGTAAGTAACATTTTAATCGTCACCATTTTTACGACAAGGGAAAAAGTTTCTCCGAAACTACTCAGTTCTTTTGAAGAAAATATTACGTGGGGTCACCGAATGCCGTCTGGAGGCAAACCAAGACGCGCCACATCACCATTTTGTTATGTACCACACTTGTATACCATTGTATACTGGGTGATTTGATGCAATCTGATTTGACTCCAGACGGTCTGATGACCGCACATAATAATTTCTATTCCTTTTGAATATAAATGTTAGAAACATGATGCGCTTTATGCTCATTGAAGGAGCCGTTAGAATTATACTTGACCTTATGCATCCATTTGCATCCGACAACATGTTTGCCTTGGGTTAAAAGGATAGACAAGCTTTGTTGTTTTCAAGAGTGATAAGATTAATGATAAGATAATCAACCATTTTTTAGATAACTAGAACGGCCCTCACAAATTGCAGATACTAATTTGGTAAGAATCAATCGAATCGAAGCTATAGCATCATCGTTGGCTGGAATAGAAATATCTGCAAGATCTGGCTTTTGCAAGTGAGAGTTTTTTGAGGCTTGACCATTGGATTGAGGATCAAACAAAGATGAAATATTTAGAACAAGAATTTGGTGAGATTATGAAATAAAACCATAAGATATATAATCTGATAAAGGCTGTTTGGCCAATGTGTTCATAATACTTTTTTGCCATTGTTGAATTGCTTGGTAATCACAAAGGCAGGAAGGGTGATTAACATGTACGGTGGACTTTCATAAGAGTGTCACAATAGGAAAATTTGGAGAATCTCTTTGATTAATGCCTGAATTATCTTTTAGTGGGGTTTGAGTTAGTGTGTATTAAAGTATACTGCTTTGAGTATTTGTGGAGGAACTTGGAAGCTCAGATTTGATAAAAGGATCCTCCAAGTTGTTTGTGTTAATGTTTTGGTGAAAAGAAAAGCAACTTTCTTGGAACATGAAGTACAAAAAACATAAAAAATTAGTTTGGTCTCAATGTTGGAGTTTGTAAGTTTTCATGCGCGTGAGCTCGAGATTGCTTGCTCTAATGGCCATTTACCTATATCATATTCATATTATTAAAAAGTTGTTTTAAGAAGCGTAAGAAAGCCGTCCCAAATGAAACTTTAACGATCATCCATAAAATCATCTGAAGAGAAATAAGTTAACATATTTCAAGAGAAATGTTTTGTTTAGATCATCATCATATGCCCATCCTCCAAAAGAGTAATGCCTGTTAATGTTTATATAACAAGCTTACATACTACACTTTCCTCAGGCTAAGCATCCTATTATAACCCAGCATATCTGCACCAGATATTAAGAGTCCAAAAAAAAGTTAACTATGCCACAAAACAACTCCAGATTACCAGGGGAAATTAGGAGAATCAAAATACCAGTCAGCTTTGCAAGGTATCCACCATTGCAACAACAGCATCTGACTCATATTCCATGACAAAGAAACAGCTCTCTCCGGCGAGTTTCTTCATCCCACCCCCACCCGGGTTGCCGCTGGAACATTCTCCTGCATTCCAGAATTGAAACTCCCCTGCTATGAAGCTCTTCATAATGCCTCAAATAATTATGGCCTAATGAAATCCTTCTTTGTGCTTCTAATAGATCTGTATTGTAGCTACTAATTAGAGGAAAGCTACTTCGTAGGGAAACTCCAGGAAAAGTTGATAACTGTAGTTCAACCATACCCAAGCTGAAATTGTTAACCCTACACAGTGGTAATGGAGCCTTCTCTCTAAATTCAAAATCATTAGTGCCCTGAATCCTCAAGCCTAAACTGTTAAAGCTAGAAAATGGCCATAGATTAGTAGTATCTCTATGTGCCAAACCATTAATGCTTCTGGGTATCCTCTCATAGTTGACTGGTCGATGGAGATGATCGATAGGTATGTTTCCATATACAATGCGATTGTCCGCTACAGGGATTATAGAAGGCTGTGAAGGCAGTAAATCAATCTTTGTTAAAGGATTCTTTGTTTTGTGGATGTGTCCAATTATGAACTTGAAGGTGGAGCACTTTCCTAGAGGGAAAGGTATATCGCTCCTGGATCCATCTCCTCTCTTGTTATTGTAGCCAGGATAATCTTCAATACAGAAATTGGCAGATTCAACAAGAACAAGTGAGTTCTCGGCGGCAAGTTCTTCGAGGTTCCAGTGAGAAAATGGTGCGGCGGTCTTGTGACTGACATGAACTTCGCCATAAGGCCGGAGCATGTGGCCTGCGTTTCTGAAAAAACCCCGCACAAGCTGCCTGTGCAATCTGATAAAAAAGAAGTTACTGTAGGGATGAAGATGACTTGAGAATTTTCTTGATAAATTTTGAGCCATACATATTGATTATGGGATAAAGAACTGGCATGAACTTAAATACGATAGGAATTTGAGAAATGAAAATATTCAAAATCATTTGTACTCTGATATATTCAAAGAAGTCATTTAATGATGGTTGAGAAAAGAATAATAACCCAAAACGAATGATAGAAAGGAAGTACCCGTAATACTAAGAAATAACAGACCAATATTTTCACCAATGTATAATGCTTTTAAATATATAGAATAATTACAGTTTTCTAATTATTCTCATATGAAACTTAAATTATATGGAACAGGAAGCTTACTATATTTTCATCTAACCAATTCCTCCAAAAGAGTTTACTACAAACATTTGGACAAATTTTAAAAAGGAACTTAGTGTGATAAGAGCAAAAACAATTCGCAAAGAATTTAGGAGGGAAATACATAGTAGGCAACTGGCCCAAGGACGAGATCAGTCGCCCACCATGAAGGTAACAAGACCATTTTTTTTTATTAAGGTTTTGTTTGGGACAGCTTTTTTATTGCTTCTTAAAAGTTTTGTACTAAAAAACTGCTTTAAGAAACAGTAAAAAAACCATCCTAAACGAAACCTAAATGAGATTTTTTTTAGCCAGGTTATAAAGTTTTTTTTTTTCAGGTTTCCTTCATTTCTTTTCAATCTAGTCGATTGTGAGGCATACTTGTAATCATTTCATTAACTTTTTTTTTGGAAGGTATACTAAATATTTGATCTAAGCATTGTCACAAAGTATTTCGTGCCTGGCAAATTGTGTTTGATGTTCTGAAATCCTCTAAACAAAGCATACCCTAAATTTCGTTATCATTAGACTCATCAGTGGGTACACTACCCTCCATTGAATATATTGTTTTCCACGTGGTACATTATACTCTACGCTATCGTCATTTTGAATTGTTGGAGAATAAGTGGAAGCCAAATATTAGGTCCTGGCATAACAAAGTTTCATACTGATCTAACAGAGGTGGAAATTGTGCCCGTGAAGTATGATCTTCAAGTGGATTAACAGGGGTAGGTATTAGTCTGTAAATGAAAGTACGCATACAAGTGGCTGTCAGATTATACAAACTAAATGAGAAAAAAAAACTGGTGATACTGATATAGTTACTAAGCTATATCGAGAACTACTATTATGGAGAATTGAGTTGCATCATCTGCAATATTCACATAATAATTCGATGTCATAAAAAGAATGCAAATAGATTCAACTTGATTGGGATTCTGCATGATCAGTTCAACCTAAAATATATCACTAGCATCTGACAAAATAACTTGACATATCTTTTCATCAATTACGTCCTACGCATAAAGCAAACAAAAAATAAGGTTTACATCACAACTCAAGCATAAATGTTTAAAGCTTGCTATATCCTTTGCGTTAAGCACTATAATGAGGTATTTAATGGTAGTTTTATATCTTTATTCTGTAATAATTTGAAACAATCTTCCGTGAATAGGATAGACCCCAACATGCGAAAACAAAATCTCTCTGAGGCTCATCATAAGACATTCCTCCGATCAGCCCCAACGATTTTCATGTAATTCTCCGGTCCACAACTTCCCTTCTTGCTATTTAAGGCAACCAACGCTACGACATCATCCACTTCTCCCATTATCCTCCCTCTTAACCATTCCCAGCTTAATCCAAATTACAATCGCCAAACCCCTCTCACTTATCTCCACTTCTTACTTTTGCAACCGTCAATAGAGAAGGTACCCTCTTTGCCTTCTTCTTCCTGGATTGAGGACTAGTCAAGAGGCTCTCCACTGCCTTGTATAAGCAGTGCCTCCTACTTCGCAAGTTCAAGTAAAATATTATCCTGGATATACAGTGCGTATCCCCACTTCAAAGCCTAGTGCCCCCCTTCAAACAAAATGAATTACCCTTGGCCCAAATTCTTCTTCCTCAATCCTTCACCTAGTGCCTCCCTCTTTCCAGCCTTAAGTAAAATACTATGCTATATAGGCAGTGCATATCCCTCTTTTAAGCTCTAATGCCCCTCCTTCAAGAGGACGAATTGCTCTTTACACAACTTCTCCGATTGTTTTCATAAAAGAGACTCTCCACTATCTTGTATAGGCGGCCTCCCCCTTTGCAAGCTCCAGTAGAATAATATCCTAAATTTACATTATATCCCCCCTTTCACACTCCAATGCCCCTCCTTTAAGAGAACGAATTACCCTTAACTTCTTTTATAAATCTTTTTCTAAGATAGGCTTTCTATTGTCTTGTATAGGTAGTGCCTGCCCCTTCATAGGCTCTAATGAAATACAGGCTTAGATAGACGGTGTGTATCTCCCTTCCAAGCTCCAGCACCCCTTCTTCAGAAGAAAGTTTTGTTTTTTGCTCGACTATATATTCACCAATTATTCTCCTAAAAGAAGCTCTCCACTATCTTGTATAGGCAGTTTCTCCCTTCATAGGCTCCAATAATATATTCTTAGATAGGTGGCACTTATCCCCCTTTCAAGTTCCAATACCCTTCTTTAAAGAAAAGAAAAAGTTTTGAGTAATCTAATATTTCCAATGGGTGATCATTCTCCTATGAAAATTCTCTAAACAAAAGATGCTCAGCAAATCATACTAGATGATAGTCCAAGGAAATTTCATAAGACAGTAGGAGACAATGATGTGATGTCTATAATTACAAGCGATTCATTAATAATATTCCATAATAAATTTCATTTTCTTAATGAAATTGTGATTATGATTTCTAGAAAATCTGAACGGGCATGTTCCTCACCATCAGAGTAATTTAGAATTTATGAAATGAGTTTACAACTAGATTTACGATTTCATTTAGCTCCAAAATTAGTTAATATTTTGATGGCAAGCGAAGTAAACTTATTTCAACTTACATGCAGAACTATAATAAGGGTTATTGAACTAATTGTCTTCTTCAGAAATCATTAGGGGTGTCAATATTTGACATGACCCAAAAAAATCGACCCTAATACAACCTGAAAATTTCCCATATCGACCCGATAAAGAAATGGGTCATGTTCGGGTCAACCCGATAACCTGGGTTTGACCCGAATTGATGCGCTTTCATTTGTCAACCCTTCTCCAAAGGCACTACTATCACCGAAACACGGTCTAGCGGGCCTAGTCCAGACAGGCAGACCCTCATCACCTGTGGCCCTACGGAATGCCCTGCCTACACTCGAGTCGTCGAACGACACTCCCACTAGACCAGTCGACCTCGATGACTAGGGATAGACGCACCCTGCACTGGTGCACTCACCGACTCGTGCTCGATGGAACCGCAAGCCCCGCACTCGTGCTGGATCAGTCAACCTCAACGGAACCTAAACCCTATTCCAAGTTAGTGGGTCGGGTCGGGTAAACCCGTATCGTAGCCCGCGTGGGTCAGGTCTGGGTTGAAAATCCCGACCCATTTGTAAAATCGGGTTGGGATTAGGTCAGATCGTTTACATCTAGGTCAACTCGGGTTGGACTTGAACCCCACCCGTTGACTCGAATTGACACCCCTAGATATAGTGGTGCAATCTTGACAGCAAAATATTTTTGAAGAATAGATCAATTTACATGTGATACCTAATGTCGTATCACATATAGGAGCAAATGATTAAATATTCAAACAAACAAATTAATTAAATATTTGAGCAAGTACTTTTTTTTTTGTGAAGAATAATGATTGGAGATTCGAACAAAAGATTCATTAGACATTCAAGAAGATTTCAGTCAATCTTCACAAAAAGTCGACTAGTCCAACATTTTAATGAATTTTTTGTTCGAAGCCTTAACCATTTGCTCTTACATATGATATGACTTTAGGCATCACATGTAAATCAACTTTATTCTTGAGAAATATTTTAGTGTCAAGATTGCACAACGATCTCTAAAGAAATAATTAGTCTAATAACAATTGTCATTATTCTCATAAAAGTTGAGATAAGCTTACTTCACATGCCCCTAAAATATTGATAATTTCATGAGCAGAAATAAATTATAAACTTGCTCTTAAACTCATTTAAAAAAAAATAAAACATCTTGATGGTGTGGAATATATCTGATCAAATTTTCAGCAAGTCATAACTACAATATCATTAAAAAAAATTTAACAAAATATTATTAATGAATTACTAGTAATTATAGATATCACATCATCAGCTTACACTATTTTATGATAATTCTTATGGTCATCATCTAATATAAGATTCAATGGAGCATCTTTTATAATAGGAATTTTGAGAGAAAAAAAAATATCACTTATTAAAAATATTAGATTACTCATAACTTTTAGTTCTCTTGAAGGACATACATTGGAGCTTGAAAGGGATATACACACCGTCTATCAAGGACAATATATTACTAGAGCCTGCGAAGGGGGAGACACTGTCTATAAAACGGAGAGCCCGTTTTAGGAAAATAATTCAAGAAAAAGTGGGAAAAGAGCAACTCCTAAAGGAGAGGCACTGGACCTTGAAAGTGGGATACACACCACCAACCCAAGACCATATTTTGGTGGAGCATAGGAAAGGAGAGGCATCGCCTTATCACCTATACAAGACAGTGAACATCCTCTCTTAGAAGAATAACTAGAGAAAAAGAAATTGGGCCAAGAGCAATTTATTCTCTTTAAGGAGGTGAATTGAAGCTTAAAAGGGGATACGCATTGCCTATTAAGGCAATATATTATTGAAGCCTGTGAAGTGAGAGGCACCGTCTATGCAAGACATTGGAGATCCTCTCTCATAGAAGAATTGAATAGGAGAAGATTGTGTAAACATCTCCCCTCTAAGAGGATATTTATACTATAAAAAGGAGGGAGTTAACAAAGTTAAAGAAAGAAAGTTATAAAAGTTACATAAAGAGAGTTATAAAAATTAAAGAGGGGAGCTTACAAAAATTAAAGTGAGATAGATGCAAAAATTAATGTGGGAGAAATGCAAAAATTAAAAAGAGTAAGATACAAAAGAAGAAAGAGGGATTGAACAAAAAAAATCTTTAAAAAATCCTCTCAAAAAAAGAAAAAAGAAGAAAGAAAAAGAAAAAATCTCTAAAAAAATATAAAAAATAAGAGGAATAAAATCTCATAAAAAAGAAAAAAAAGTCTCTTAATAAGGCACCACACATGACAAATGCCGGCCTATAATGGGGCGCCATATGAAGCAAAAAAATGTGTGGTTGGCCTAGCCCAGTCTAGTCTGAAATTTTAAGTCCAGACAAATTTATTCCAAAAAAAAAAATTTTCTCAAAAAAAAAAAAAGACAAACTTATTCCAATCTTTTTGGGATTCTTGGGACTATTTTAAACATTCTGAACTAAATTTTAACACCATCAAAGCCCAATGAAGCCTCTATGATCAGAAAAAAAATTTCCACAACTTTTGCTCCAACTGGCATGCCGATTTTATGGAAGGTTAAAATTATAATGAAGATGATTTCACATAGTTCATTCCCAATGGAAGGTCCATGTTACTCTAGGGAGTGGTCAAGACTCATAAAATTTTCAAAATTATAATTTTCGCTCAGTGAAATTTTTTGAAGATTTTAAATATATTTTTTGATGTAACGAGCTTTTGCATATGAAAAAGGGGGAAAATAATACATCTACGAAAAATTTGCATGATCAACACGAATCTCGAGATACAATTTAAATTAAAATGTGTCAAATTTAAATTTAGGATCATTTGAACTCTTATTTCAACAAACTTTAGTCGAATTGAATGTATCGTAAAGACGAACTCAATGATACCAAAAAGTGGTCAAATTCAAACCCAAATGAGCCCATGTCAAGCGCTTGATGAGTAATTGAAAATTTCATATATTAATTGGCCGACCAAGTGATCTCTAAATTTGGCTTGATTATAATAGAACCGAGCGGTTCAACGAGACGAATCAAATGAGCTCAAGATCACTAAACCCGGACATTATTAAGGCACTTAATTGCTAGAAAATGCTTTATGATCAATGGAATAAATGCAGATGGTATGATGGAGTGTTTTGAATTATGACCAAATTATCAAAATGCTCATATTAAAAAACATATAAATAGAGTCATATTCTCTACACATGGGGAGGTCCAAGAGTTAAGAGAAGAAGAGAGCTCCCTTGTATTTTTTAGCTCTCATCATGGCCAACAACCACATGTTCTCTCCGCCAATAACGACCATCAACCCTCATCGATGATCACCACTAGTAATCACTAACCCCACTTATAGACTTTTACCAAGATCTATCCCTGTTGTTGGATATTAATAATCTATCTGTGGATAATTAATTTTTTATTCCTTACAGGGAAAATTAGACATCGGTTCTCAAAATAGTCCTACCATCTTCAACTTTGAATAAGAAAAAGATTCTTACATCTCCTACTATAAAATGAATATTTCAACTGGTCCAAGCCTTATAGTTTTTTTTGCTTTCCGGATTTTCACGTAAAAAATTTTCTAATCTCCTACAATTTTTTATTTATGTTTTGAATTTTTATCAAAAGCCAACACATAAAATACTAACTCCACTTATGCAAATTTTTTTGCATCTAACATATGTAATATAAGTCAAAGTGATGGAATATTTATAACTAAATGCGCTTGCACATCATCACTTATGCCATCACAAATCATTCCAACTATCTAGTGAATAAATCAATTTCTTAATCCTACTTATAAATTCATTCAAGTAAAAGAGCATTTAGCATTCATTTAAATTAAGGAAAATCTTTTAAACAACTTGTAATTGTATTAGCTTTGGCTAAATGCCTTTTTCATAACTTTATAAATCATTCTACCTTCGTGCCTAATAGATATTGCCTCTTTGTTCAATTTTGCATGCCCAAACCAAACTGATGCAGACATCCGACGGTGGACGTTAATCAAAGGAAGAGACGAAGATCCCTCTATTTCATCTTAGTTTATTAATTGTATTTTTATTTAAATTATGCATTTTCGTTTTTACCCTCACTTAAGGGTCTTGTCTTATGTAAGCCCAAGAGGCAAAATCATCTTTTATTTTCTTTTAAAGCCTATATATAGAGGCCCTTGCTCTTGTATTATGGAATGATGAATTATTAAAAAAAAAAATTGTTTGCACTTGTGTTCTTTGGAGAGAGCTTGGGTGAGATTCCTATTGGAGGGAATCAGAGTTTTCACTAGCCTCAGGATGGGTCCGGGCTCATGTCTTGAAGTCCCTTGGTGAAGGGCAACGCAATACCCGTTAGTCTTCAGAAGTATCAAAGGCTCAAAGTTCTATCATTTTGTTTCTTTGTTTTGTTTCTCCTTATTTTCTTGACCGCCACCTCCCCCTTCTCCCCCCCCCAAGCCGTTCGTCACCTTGTGGCCCTTGCTCTTGTATTATGGAATGATGAATTATTAAAAAAAAAATTGTTTGCACTTGTGTTCTTTGGAGAGAACTTGGGTGAGATTCCTATTGGAGGGAATCAGAGTTTTCACTAGCCGCAGGATGGGTCCGGGCTCATGGCCTGAAGTCCCTTGGTGAAGGGCAACGCAATACCCGTCAGTCTTCAGAAGTGTCAAAGGCTCAAAGTTCTATCATTTTGTTTCTTTGTTTTATTTCTCCTTATTTTCTTGACCGCCACCTCCCCCTTCCCCCCCCCAAGCCGTTCGTCACCTTGTGGCCACCCCTTTCACTAACCCCACCCAACTTCAACCCTAACTGCCACCTTTCCATTCCCTCTTCCCCTTGGCTGAGATCCACCATGGTTCAACCGACTCGCCGACCACCTCCTTCCCTAGCCCCACTTCCCTCCAAAAATCCCTCTTTCCTTATTTAGGTTGTCATTAATTTAGAAAGATTTTAAATTCAAATTAATCTAATTTGAATTTCAAATCCATCCAAACTCCCTCTTGATTACCTTCCTAAATTAGATTTTGTTAATTTGAAAAGTCATTCAATTTTGAATTCAAATAAATTTAAATTTCAAAACCTTTCCAATTTAATAAGTTCTACATTAGGGAGCCTCCTCCAATTACTCTCAATCTGAAATTAATTTCATATTTAATTCCCCCAATCCCATTAAATGTTTGATCCACATACATCGAATGTGGACATTAGCTTTCCCTCCACCCATGGACGGCTCCTCCCCTTTCCATATCTCTCCTAAATTAATTCCCCATCCCACCAATTAAGGCCATTAACCCCTCTTTCTCTTGATTGGAGTCAATCTCGCTTTGATAGCCTACTTTCCTAAAATATTCTAGATAATTTTGGAAAGAGAATCAATTTGATTTGAATTCAAATTTCAAATTCTTTCCTAAATATCTAGGTTAAATTAGGAAACCCCTTAAATCAATCCCAATCAATATCAAATTAAATTGGAGTAATTATCTCTCTTTTTAAAACTGAAAGTCAATTTAGGAAAGCATTAATTCCACCAATCCACTCCCAAAAAACCCATGCATGCCGCCGATTTTCCTTCCACCAATTAAGGCCATTAACCCCTCTTTCTCTTGATTGGAGCCAATCTCGCTTTGATAGCCTACTTTCCTAAAATATTTTAGATAATTTTGGAAAGAGAATCAATTTGATTTGATTTCAAATTCTTTCCTAAATATCTAGGTTAAATTAGGAAACCCCTTAAATCAATCTCAATCAATATCAAATTAAATTGGAGTAATTATCTCTCTTTTTAAAACTGAAAGTCAATTTAGGATAGCATTAACTCCACCAATCCACTCCCCAAACCCATGCATGCCGCCGATTTTCCTTCCCCCTGGTGTTCGAAATTCATATGACCCCCCCCTCCCCTCCTTCCCTTTATCGTCCTACATCACAAACAGTTTAAGGCTTAAGCATTCATAAGGAAATATCAACAGGACGTAAGCCATTCATCATTGAAAACAGGCTGTGTTAGACTCTCAAATAGAATATCACACCAAGCAAGCATGGATAGTAAACTAATTTATGATAATTTCTCCAAATGGCATCTACAAACATGTATAAATAGGGAAATAAATATCAATGCTGATTGTGTTGCTATACTCCCTAAGGTGTAAATTCGTGATCTCCTATGCAAACATAATAAATGAAAATTACATAAATGTGGTGCAATAATATTTCATAGACATCCATGAAAGTTGGACATTTGAGTTAATAGAAAGATCGCATTTACTAAAAAATTCTTCAGTGCTGTGTTAATAACTTGATGCTTCCATAAAAACAGGAATGCAATACAACATACTTGATCAGCTGCGGATGATCTTCTTTACCCTTGAAGCCAGCGTGGGGGAAATTAAATACTATCCTATCAAATCTTCTAGTCCTTAAACCAGCATGGAATTTCATTTTTGTTGCATCAACGCCATGAACAATTGATGCTCCCATCTTCTTAAGTTCCTCCACATTGGATTGAGCTTTACTATACTTTTTCAACAAAATATCTGGGAAAAGTAGTGTTTCATTACAAGACAAAATAAAATGCACATACAAACGGCAACTAACTTGAAAACTGTCATATTAGTATTATTATTTTGTCAGAGTAAATACAAAATCCATGAAGGGAGGAAACTACATAATTGATCAATTGACCCAATCTAAATTATTGAAACACCCGATGGATTGCAAGCGCAGCACATAAAAATAATCATTTATAAATTTATAAATATGAAATATTTATTAGAGGAGGATAATCACGGTAGTAGGCATTTTAAATTTTATAAATTTTATAATCCATGTGAAAATAAATACTCCAGAAGGGCCACAAACTACGATAACGACAAGAAGCTTAGCTTTATTGTCTGAAAAAAAAATCTTTAAATGCTCAAAACTCATAGAATTAGAAGGAAATCAAATACAACAAAGGAAAGAGACATCAACAAGATGCAGTCGTGTTATACGATTACGCCAGATTAAAAAAAAAAAAACTATAATGCTTTCATAGAATCTCCCTTTTACAAAAAGGTAAAATCCTATAAAGTTTTACAAAACCGGTGACTTAGCGTTAAAAGAAAAGAAGACTAAAAAGCTATCATGAAACCCCTTTAAACAAGGGCATCAAGAAACACAAAACCCAGCAAGAACACAAAACCGACCTAAGCCAAAAAGTAGTAAACAAGACTAGCTCATTGAAGAAAGATGAATACAGTTCCAATAGTTTGATCGAGTTCTAGTTAGAAGAAACAGAGAATAGAAAGGACACCATAGGCGTCGTGCGAAGTGGCGACTATGTTGATAGCAGACCCAAAAGCATTGGCGAGGGAGAGAGAGAAGGAGAAATCTCCTTCGCCAACGAGCAATATCTGGTGCATCGAACAGTAATGCTTCAACCATTTCACATCCTCTTCGTCGTTTTCCTCGTAGATTTTTGCTTTTACCTCCATCTTTTCACAAGAACACAAGTGAAAACTGAAACAGAGAGCAGTTCCGTCTTTCACACGGCGGCGGACAGGCGGTGAGGCGACCTACGAAGCGTTACCAGTAATTTATATTCGAGATTCAAATAAATATACTTTTTTTATTATGAGTTTTAAAAAGAAACTATTTTTTTCTATATAAAAAAAAATATTCTTGCTTAAGACATGTCAAGGGTTAAAAAATAAATATTTAACATTTTTCATATTTAAATACATTTTTTAAACTAAAATTAAATTTATTTGAATTTTATAAATTTTTAGATTGATTGTAATATTTATCTAATTTTTTTCCAACCATTAATAAAAAAATTTTGAATAATTATTTTCTTAAAATATTGAAATATTTTTTAGGTAAGAATATGAGAACTAAAGCTCTATTATCATATTATAATAAATTAAAATGTAATAATACATGTGTCATAAGATTAAAAAAAATTAGAAAATGCTTTTTTCTAACCATTAATCTACTGAATATAAGTTTAGACTTTCAATAAAAAAATGAATTTAAAAAATTGTATATATATTATGTGTAATTTTATGATTTAATTTACTGAAAATTCTTTAAAAAATCAGTGCAAAAAAACTTTTTCTAATATTTTAAATAAAATATAAAATAATCTGCTGGATAGCCGTCAGCCTGGAAAAATTATTACGTTCAGCTTCCGGATATTCGATAGGCGAATCTGGAAGCGTCACGTCACCCGTGGCCCAGTGCATCCGGGTAATGTGGCGCTTCCGGATTCGCCTCCGAACATTTGGACATCGCACATAATAATCTCTCGTTAGTATGTCAGTAATTTTTTGGGGTGCTCTATGAAACTAAAGTTTAGATTTAAATGAGCATTCAGATGGGGATACTTACGAGAAAATCTTTGGAATAAAAATGGTGTTGTAATTCTAGAATTTTGTGTGGCTTTATTTTAAAATTATCCTGTTAGATTGGTAGGCACAAATCTTAATAAATTTCTAAATAAAAAAACTTAAAAAGTAAACTTCAAAATCACCGGAATGCCAATTTAGCAAGTTAATGTCAGATCAAATGTAATGTTGTGACAAACTCATGATACTAAAAGTGATTTGGTTTGAGCCTAAACAAGCCCAAATTAAGCAAGTCCAACATATTATGATATTTTCAGGTATTAGTTGCAGCATCAAATGATTTCAAATATCATATGTTTAAATTATTTGATTTCAATATTATTAAAGCATCTAAAAGAATGGTTTAAGAATAATAAAATTGATAAAGTTTGTCTGATAGAATGTTGTGTAATTTATACTTATGGAGCATGCTACTCTAAAAGATTATAAATATACTCTTATCGCTACACAAAAGGGGAGGGATTGGAAAGAAAGAGGAAAGAGAGAGCTCAACAGCCTACATAAAACTATGCCCTACCACCATCAGATGCCAGACTACTATTGTCCAACCATTACCCTCATACAACCTCGAAAAGATCATTGGCATATAACAACTACCATCCACATATCATCTACAAACCATTGTGGTTCAATCACTATTATCGAACAGTCATCATAAAAAACTACTGAACCTTCACCCCTTCGACAATCAACGCCTAACTAGGTCCTTCAACATCATCGATCAACTATAGTCATTTAAAAATTGTCACTTGAGTACGCACCTTCAACCACTTGTTTGATCCGGAGTACTTGGCCACCGTCGCTCAACTGAAGGACTATTGTTGACTAATTTCAGTCTCTAGGCCATCATTGATTGAATTGAGCTCTTTATTATGTATTTCATAAACTTTTTTATCTTTACATTTGTCCGTTGTTAACTGAGACTTTGTTTTGCCAACTTGAAATTTTTTATAAAAAGCTTTTCACTAAAAAAACTACATGAGCATGCTCAAATCTTTCAAACCTTTCAAAAGAGATCGTTCGCGTCCAAATTAGATTTCTATGGACATAAGTCGGGAATGTTATTTTAATTATTCTTTCGTGTCATTATAATAATAATCACTCTTCCATCTCTTTCTCTTTCATATTTTATTAATCTGAACTGCCCTTTCACATTCGCCAAAAAATATTTTGAGCTGCCAAAATCTCGACATTAAGCTCGATAAGAAGCTCGATTCGTATTCGATTTTGAACTCGTGAATAAGCTCGATAAAAATAATTAATATTTGACTATAGAATTAATAAATATAAATAATCATTACCTTTGTTACATAGACAATTGCTTTTATTATAAATGTGTTTGTTCATAGATATGTTCACGAACATGTTTGTTTGATAGTTAAAAAAATTCGTTAAATATGTTCGCGAACAAGCTCGATAAATATTAAACGAACGAACATGAACCGAACATGAACACTCCTTAATTTAAATGAACCAAACATGAACACAAATGCTAAAGCTCGAACAAACATGAACCAAACATGAACAAGCTAATATTAAATGAACACAAACATGAACACTCACATACTCTGCTCGGCTCGGTTCGTTTGCAGCCCTAAAATTTGTAGACCATTTTATGTAGACTTATTTGAACTCAAATTATATCACCTTGCTTATGGAGTCATGGACATTTAATTTGGCTATAAATTTATCAATTAATCAAAACTATTATCTTATTAAAAAAATAAAATAGTAAATAAAATAAAACTAAAATGAAAATATAATAGATTGAGAAAGTGACCCGTTTTTTAAAATGAATCGGATTCGAGTCAGCTTAAATAGTATCGTGTAAGATTCGAGTTTGACCCGACCCATACCTGAAATTCGATTTTGACAACCCTAATATTTCCATTTAATTAAAATTATTACTTGATTAAAATTTTTTATTCATTATTTTAAATAAAAATTTAATTAAATTTTAAATAAATAAACAACAAGTAACATTAATTTCATTTAATTATATTAAATATTAATTATATTTTGTAATTAAATTTTATTTTTACACAAATCTAATAAAATCTTTCTTATGGATTTAACAATTTTAAATATTTAATAAAAAATAATTTCATAAAACATATTAATAAGTTATAATTAAAAATACAGGTCAATTAAAATTAAAAGAAAATGATATAACAAATTTTTAATTTATGTTTTTTTTTTTCTAAACTAAATTAAATTTACATTTTCTATAAATGTAATTTTCATTTAAGAGAGAACATAAATTCACTTTAAGTCCAATTAACTTTATATATATAATTTTAAAGGGATTTCCATACATACCATTTTATTTTATATTACTTATATATCTAACATATAAAATATTAATATTACATACATATCACCAATATATAATTTTAATATCAAATATAACACTCTTATAACTCTAAATTCTACTGCTTTTCAAAAATTTGTCATTTAAGGGCGGTTCAAATTGATTACAATTATGTTTTTGAAGTTGATTGAACTTGTAACTCGGCCGGTTCTCCATTGAACCAGTTGAATCGGCTGGTCAGGTCCATTTTCTAAAGGTTACCTTAGCTTCATATTTACATGATAGATATATTAAAAATAAATACAAATTAAATAACTAATGCGATATTTTATAAAATTTTGAAAATTACCTAATTTATTTCCAAAATGAAAAAGATAAACAGACATCCAAATAATAAAAAACAAATTGAGAATACATCATTTGATAAAAAAATGAATTTTATATTATGATATTTTGATGCAAAATTAGCTTAGATTAGCATAATACATGCATAAATAATATAGCAGTAATTTCAAAATATATTAAAAAAAATTGATCTCATAATCCAAAAAACTTTACCAGTTCGAAATCCTTCGTGCTTAAGCATTGAAAAGCCAAAAGTTTGAAGAAGCTTCAGAATCCTTCTTTTCTTTTCTTTCTTCTTTCCCATCTCTCCAAATTCTCTTAAAAAACTCGTAAATTAAACTACGAACTCCCAAACTCCAAATAATCTCATCTCCTAATTCCATTATTCATTTAAAGCAAACTCAAAAACAGAAAAAATAACATATTCCCATTCCTCCAATCGATCGCAGGATCCAATAAAGGTCTGCAATCGCTCCATTAAAATGCCAGTCAAGAAATTTCCAAAACATTAAAGTAAAAGAGAAAACCAGAGATCAAACCGTTCCCAAATCAGAGAACTCACCGTCACCTCTTCGTTCTGCAACTCCTCGCCACCAAAACTCCACTGGGAGGACTCGTGAGCTCGATCTGGCACCGGCCGTACAACCAATAGGAAAAGTGGCCAACTCCAAATATCGCCCTAACTCTAAAGGTCCCCCTCACGCTGTAAAAAACCCTATTGCTCCTCACCTGTGTCACAAGCTCCAACGCAATCTCCGGAGGCAGGTAAACCTGGCTCGAAATCATATGCACGGCCTGGAGCTTCGCCTCCCCCCTCCTCTGAACGAAGGGTGGCAGCAGCTGCGCGGCGACGAGGCGGTTGAGGAAATAGAGCTCGATGCTCGCATATTCGAAGACGTACGACGTCGATCTTGGTGTTAGGGTTTGAGAAATTGGCAAGGAAAGTGAGGTCGGCGTTGAGGTAAGCGGGGGAATCGAGGTAGATGGCGTTTAGGGTTGCTGAGGTGGTGTCAAAGGAAGGGTTGCGTGGCTTAATGATGAGGAAGATGATGAGAGTGAGTATGTAGAGCTTCAGTCCAGAGAAAGTGAGGAAGATGAGCGTCAAGGAGGAGGGTACGCGCTGTTTCGAGGAGGTGGCAGTGCTACCGTTTTGTTGTGGTGTATGGGGCAGACTAGTTGATGAGTAATGTCAGTGGTGGAGAAGAAAACTTTTATGATATTATTGAGAAATTCGCCGCCACCATCAGAGCAGATGGTGCGAATTTTTGTATTAAACTGTCTTTCAATTTGTGTAATGAAATGAATTATTGTATGCGGGACGTCGGATTTAAATTTTAAATGAAACAACCAGTTAAATCTTGTGAAGTCATCAACAATTAAAAGATAATAGTTATAACCATCATAAGATAGAATCGGGGAAGGTCCCCAAACATCCATAGGTAAAAGTTCTAGATGTGCATTAGTTACATGCTTTGAAGAGAAAAACGGTTGCCTGTGGCATTTTGCAAGCTCACAGGAATTATAAGACGAACTAAGAAAAGAACGACCTACTGAAGAGAGCTGTTTTGACAGGTGTTGCAGAACTTTCGAGTAGGGATGGCCCAACCGGCGATGCCATACGTTCACGGTGGAAGAGGATTGAAGAGTGGCAACATTGGCGGTGACGGAAGTAGTGGTGGGGTTGACTGGAACAGGATAGATTCCATTACGACATGGACCTTTGAGAAGCGTTTTGTTGGTCTTCTGATCCTTTAAATGAAAGTCGAATTGATCAAAAGTGATAGAATATTGGTCATCGTTGATAAGTTTGGAAATAGAAAGAAGTTTATGAGTGAGATTAGGAACATGAAGGAGTGGTTAAGTAAGAGCTTACGTGTAGGAGTAGGTAGTAAGCCGTCACCGAGATGTTGAATGGGAACAAAATTGCCATTTCCAACCAGCACATGATCTTTACCAGTATATGGTTGTTCAAAAGGTAGTAAGTTCGGAGAAAGATGAGCGGTAGCACCGCTGTCCAGGTACCACGAGGTAGTATTCGCATTCGAGTTGTTTGCCAATAGAGCTACATCATCGGAGGAAGTAGGGGAGTTGTACTGAAAATTTCCTCTGTGCCAGCAAGTAACAGCTGTGTCCGGTTTTACCACAGATTTGGCACTGTCCATCGAAGCGGGGTGTTCGTGGG